TTATAGCAGCTACCACACCCAGCAATCAGCTAGGCTGGTATATTAGTTGATAATGTCACCAGAATTCATTGCTATTATTATTTAGTAATTGCCAAGTTATTTCGCAATTCTTACAATCCTTTACAAGCAAATATTTTTGCAAATTTGAGGTTTGCTAGAAAATCAATATGCCTACTTATTAGTACTGCTACCAAATACTAGATAATTACGACTGTGTACATTAAACCAGCGTTGGCAGGAAAGTCATTTTTTGAAGTCTCGTTTAATTCTATAAAAATTCTCTTTCTTCCCCTTATTTTATTTGGGGTTTTGGATCAAGAAATAAAACAAATCTGAATTTTTGCTTGACTGGTTTATTATTAAAAGCATTACTGTCTACCATGACTATTTTCCCCTTTCATGTCCTTTTATTACCCATAATAAAAGGACACATTTAAAAATATCTTCCTTGAACTTTTTATAGAACCTTGAGGAAGTGTCTTGCCAAGAGCATGTAGTCGGTTATAGAGCAGATCATACTTTCCTGCCATAAGTTCCGCAGTTTATGAAATGATCTGTTTTTCTGACTAATGGCATAAAAATACATGAGGGCCAACGTTGGAGCATGTTAAGGAACAACGAGAGTCTAGAGGTTTACCAAGAGACTATTCACACATTAGCTGCTACTGTGACCTCTTATACGTGCGACAATGTGTCAAAACGACACACAGCAGTTCAGAAACAAAATTATACAGCAGAGCAGCAGATAACCTGTCACGGCAGAACCTCCCATCTCCAAAACAAATGCACTTAACATTACTGTCTTAATACCCATAATGCCATATGTCAGCATTAGGCAATTAAGGGATTTGTAACTAAGAGAAAATGTTTTTGGGTCAATGAATTTGCAGCAGACTTGAGCATGCCTAATGTCTCTTCTGTGCCAAACGCACAGCGATTTTCTCTGCACCCTACACCATTTACTCTGTTTGTGAAAAGGCTCTAGTATTAGATAACCAGGGATCTCATGATGATGGATGAGGAGAGGACGAGAGAGACCCAATTGTCGCTCAGACTTTAGTCCGTATATATCAAATAAAAGACTGCCAATCTTTGGATTAAAGTGTCTCTGGCTGTGTGTCTGTTTTAGTCTTTGTGTAGACATTTGAGGTCGTATCATAACACTTTCTTCCTTGTCTAATAATCTTTATGTTTAACCACTTTCCTGTACTGCAAATAGAGTATGAGTTGTGATTTACGAGGCAAGACTGTGTTTTCCATTAAGCGTGTGCGTAAGAGCCCTAGAGATATATTGGCCAAGTAATTTTTTTCTTCATCTGAAAAAAAAGGCTACAGTTCTTGTTGCTTTGAACCACAACTCCCATATTACTAAGTCAGCCTTGTGGAGTGTTTAATGAGTTTATTTATTTCAGTAGTAGAGGCTGATGTTTGTGAAGAATCTCAGGGAAATCTTTTAAATGTGCAGAAAAGTGTGTCATCTGCTATTAAGCTGCTGCTGCTGTTTCTAATTCCGTATGTTTTGCTATATGTAGATGGTGATGTTGCTGATGTTGAAGACCACACCTTGATGTGGGATATGTCCAAACCATTATCTCACACTCGAATGCATATATGTGTTTCCTTTTGCACTCCATGCAGTTCACACGTTATCTTGCTAAATTTTCTGGAATATCTATGATGTGTCAATTATCCCCATTACACTAGGTAATGTAACTTCGAGGGCCTTTAATTAAGTGAAGAGAGCCAGAACTACTACTGACCATATGTGCACCCCACACACCCAACACAATGAAGAAGTCAGTGTTCAGAAAGTGACCCAAAACAACTTCCTGTTGAGTAGAATTCTGTGTCTAGGTCAGACCTAGGTTGGACCTGCAGGTCCGTCAGCGGCAAATTGTAAATCTGTCTCTTGATTCCAAGATTAATAAAAAAAATCTCCATGTACACTTAGACACGCACGCACACTGTTGTGATTACACTTGCCTCTTCCCTGATTTAACTCTCTGGACTATTGTGTGTATATATATATATATATATATATATATATATCAGTATATTTGGAAGAGATAGAAATGCAATACTGGGGCAAAGTTCTAATAGTAGAGCAATTACAATGACAACCTTTGAGGATTGTGCTCAGTTTTTATCTTCTCAAAATTCCACCCAGAATTCCACTTATTTGTCACATCCATTGCCTGTATTGCAGTCTCAAAAGTTATTTTATTTTATCACATCCATTGAAAGTTAGTTTCTTCCACCATGTGCAATGAAGCCGACGTGGTCCCTGAAAATACTCACCACACAACAGCAGATTATTCACTAAAGTGGGAATTTGGAATTGCTAATGTAGGCTTAAAATAGACAAGGTTGAAAAAAGCCAAGTTGGGGATTTTTTTTTCCATTTTCTTACTTTAGGCTAAAACTTGCAATTCCTCAATCATTTCTCCCCAAATGTCAACATAGTCAGTAACCCAAACAGTAATAAACACTGAATAACCCCTTTAAACTGATAAAAGTTCAATCTATTGTATCCAGATTTCATTCCACGTACCATAATCAGAATTTGGAAAAGTGCTTTTATAGGCTCTCTGCATTACAAAACACTACAAATGAGAGTCTACCTCATTCCTCCTCCACCCAAAATCCCTGGGGTAGTAGTATTCTTAGAATTTAGTCAATTCAATTTGGTGCTGAAACATTATTGATGGTTAACATTATGCAGTTTGCTGCCACCAAGTGGTGTTTAATGGGACATAACCCAAAGCATATGGGCCACAAGGGCCTGTCTTTTAACAACTGTTTTACCGGACACAAAGGAATCCTTCAGAGAAGGGAATAGTTTGAGTCTGGAACATTTAGCTATTGCTAAACTACAGTTCTTACCCTCTCCTGAAATATCTGTATAATTGCTCAATCCTATATGTATTTTTTTTTTACAAATATATATATATATATATATATATATATATATATATAACTGTCTGTTGCAATTTAACACATTTATGTTATTAAATAGTCTTTGCGATAATAACATCATCATCGACAAAACATTTGATAAGATGTTCAGTGATATTTTGTAACTCCTTAAAACAAAACATTGTGGCAATCCTACTCTTAATAGAAAGCAGGAACAGATTTAAATGACTCTAACATATTAACCCTTCCCATTTCATTTGGAGAAATCGAATCATTACAATCACAATAGCCAAACATTTGTGGTCTGCTAACTAATGAGTGAGTTGTGGTTAGCTGATAACCTGCATTAAGGCCAAATAGTTGTACCTCTGTTAACCTGGAGCTTGTTTTTTTAAAACCCTTGGCACATTGATCTAAATATTACCGTGCAATTTTACATCTTTTGACTTGGTGGTCAGTGTTAAACAGCTCACAAAATGTTTTATTTAATCAATACATTCTGATAATTGGATTTTTCTTTTATTTTCATGTATCAAGAGTCATCATACCCCAGGAGAAAGAAACATGTTTTCAATTTGTGAAGAAGAAATATAGTTTTGAGACAAATAACATTAGATAGAAAGGTCAATGTTTACTAATTCCTTTCCAGACTCGTATGTAGACGGCCTAATTTTTATTTTGTGTTTTCCATATTTTAGACTTTATTCTCTCCTCCCTTATCTTTTCCTCTCATACTGTATAGAATAATATGCAGAGCAAACTACAGGACTTCATTATACAGACTGGGGGAAAGGAGGCGGAAGGGGGGGCTGGAGTGCTGTGTATTTTGAACACTCTAAGGCTTGTTTTAATTCTGTAGTGGCATGTCCATTATATAATAGATGGTAACTAATTTGAGTTATCTAATTTTCTAACACCATATCTCCAGAAGGATATTGATACCTTAGAGAGAGTTCAGAGAAGGGCTACTAAACTGGTTCATGGATTGCAGGATAAAACTTACCAGGAAAGGTTAAAGGATCTTAACATGTATAGCTTGGAAGACAGGGGGGATACGATAGAAACATTTAAATACATAAAGGGAATCAACACAGTAAAGGAGGAGACTATATTTAAAAGAAGAAAAACTACCACAACAAGAGGACAGTCTTAAATTAGAGGGACAAAGGTTTAAAAATAATATCAGGAAGTACAGTATCTCACAAAAGTGAGTAAACCCCTCACATTTTTGTAAATATTTTATTATATCTTTCCATGTAACAACACTGAAGAAATGACTCTGCTACAATGTAAAGTAGTAAGTGTACAGCCTGTATAACAGTGTAAAATTGCTGTCCCCTCAAAATAACTCAACACAGCCATTAATGTCTAAACTATTGGCAACAAAAGTGAGTTCAACCTTAAGTGGACATGTCCAAACTGGGCCCAAAGTGTCAATATATTGTGTGGCCACCATTATTTTCCAGCACTGTTTTAACCCTCATGGACATGGAGTTCACCAGAGCTTCACAGGTTGCCACTGGAGTCCTCTTCCACTCCTCCATGACGACATCACAGAGCTGGTGGATGTTAGAGACCTTGCTCTCCCCCACATTCCGTTTGAGGATGCCCCACAAATGCTCAATAGGGTTTAGGTCTGGAGACATGCTTGGCCAGTCCATCACCTTTACCTTCAGCTTCTTTAGCAAAGCAGTGGTTTTCTTGAAAGTGTGATTGGGGTCGTTATCATGTTGGAATACTGCCCTGTGGCCCAGTCTCCAAAGGGAGGGGATCATGCTCTGCTTCCGTATTTCACAGTACATGTTGGCATTCATGGTTCCCTCAATAAACTGTAGCTTCCCAGTGCCGGCAGCACTCATGCAGGCCCAGAGGATGACACTCCCACCACCATGCTTGACTGTAAGCAAGACACACCTGACTTTGTACTCCTCACCTGGTTATCGCCACACACGCTTGACACCATCTGAACCAAATAAGTTCATCCTGGTCTCATCAAGCCACAGGACATGCTTCCAGTATTCCATGTTCTTAGTCTGCTTGTCTTCAGCAAACTGTTTGTTGGCTTTCTTGTGCATCATCTTTAGAAGAGGCTTCCTTCTGGGATGACAGCCATGCAGACCAATTTGATGCAGTGTGCGGCCTATGGTCTGAGCACTGACAGGCTGACGCCCCAACCCTTCAACCTCTGCAACAATTTCCCAAAGACAACATCTGGATATGACGCTGAGCACATGCACTCAACTTCTTTGGTCGACCATGGCGAGGCCTGTTCTGAGTGGAACCTGTCCTGTGAAACCGCTGTATGGTCTTGCCCACCGTGTTGAAGCTCAGTTTCAGGGTCTTGGCAATCTTCTTATAGCCTAGGCCCTCTTTATGTAGAGCAACAATTCTTTTTTCAGGTCCTCAGAGAGTTCCTTGCCATGAGGTGCAATGTTGAACTTCCAGTGACCAGTATGAGAGAGTGTGAGAGCGATAACACCAAATTTAACACATCTGCTCCCCATTCACACCTGAGACCTTTTAACACTAACAAGTAACATGACACCAGGGAGGGAAAATGGCTAATTGGGCCCAATTCTGACATTTCCACCTAAGGTTGTACTCACTTTTGTTGCCATCAGTTTAGACATTAATGGCTGTGTGTTGAGTTATTTTGAGGGGATAGCAAATTTACAGTGTTATACATATACGTATATATTTATAGTACTTTTTGTTATTTACGTTGCCAGTTGTATATATTTATAAACATACATACAATACGTGTGATTTTGCTTCTATGACTTTTTCTATGATTTCTATAACTTTTCCAACCCTGTCTGAAATATAAGAAACACAATATATATTATATAATATACAATATTTCTGTAACGGATGTATTCATACATACGATGAATATTTGAAATATAATGTATACATTCCAATACATACGCATACATGAAAACATGTAAACAAAAACAGCTGGAGACATGCCCATGCAGGTCTTAGCAATATTGTCTATGATTGGTAACAAAACTAAAGTTAGCATTTCATGGAAATCAAAGGAAATTTCAAATTTAAGGTCAAAATAGCTGAACTACAATAATTCTCCCAGTCAGCTAGGCTTCCTCTTCAGCTACTTTGGGCTTTAATTTGAAATTCACTTTAACATCACTTTGAATGTCCATTATTCCTATTCCTTATGTTACTTGCCCTTGCAAATGATGTGGAGTCTAACCCTCGCCCCACAGCTAATTCTAGTCCTAATCTCCCCACTCAAAAAAGCCTCTCTTTTGTGCACTGCAACATCTGTAGCTGACTCCCTAAACTGGATGCACTGCAAGCCTGGTGTTCCCATGACAAAACAAAAATCATTGTGCTCTGAGAATCATGGTTAACGACTAAAATACCAGACTCCGCCATTGCAATACAGGATTATTCATGTCTTAGAAATTGCAAAGCAAAGAGAGGAGGAGGCATTGTTATTTTTGTTGACAAGTCCATAAAATGTACTCCTTTAAATAACTATAACTCCCCTTCTGCCTTTGATTTCCTTTCTGGCACAATTGAGATCCCTCTCACTAAAACTATCATTGTTGCTGGAATCTACCGCCCACCCAGCTCTCTGGTGCACTGCCTTTCTGACATGGCCCAACTACTAGTGAAACTGTAGCTCAAAACCCAAAAAGTGAACTGTTGGTTTTTGGAGACTTTAAAATTGATTGGCTGAATCCTAAAAATAATAAATCTTGTAGGCTGTTTAAGACTTTGCAACTAACACAATTAATTTCCTCCCCAACTCGCATTAATATTAAAAGCCACAACCATACCTTGCTCGATTGGATTCTTTCCAGTTGTCCTGACAGAATCCAGAAGGCGGGTGTTCTCCCTAACAGTTTCAGTGACCACTGTCTAGTGTACTGCATACGCAAAATGAAGGCCACTAAATCCCCTCCCAAGATTATAATCAGGTCTTTCAAAAAAATTTAATGTTGAATCCTTTTTAAATTATCTCAAGAACATACCATAGCACAGATTGGGTCTAATACCAGATCTAGACTCTGCAATGGCATTTTTTCAGTCTGAGCTCTTTGGAATTTCCCTGCCCCTCTGCGTAAAGTGCGACTAAAAGGGACACACCTGCCCTGGGTTACAGCTGACCTCATTCAAATGTACCAGTTTAGAGACTCACTGTTGTCAAAGTTCAAGTGTACTGGCTCCATGAACGATCACTGTACTTACAGACAATGGCGAAATGCATGCACAAAACAAACAAAAATGGCAATGGCCCAATATGTCAGTGAAAATTTGAACAACAACCTATCAAATTCAAGAAACTTCTGAAAAATCATAAATAGCATACAAACCCCCACAATCCACTCCCAACCCCCCCACTGTCAAAATGGACACCCAAACACTTCAACTCCCCCTAGATGTAGTAAATGCCTTTAATAATTATTTTGTTGGATGCGCTGCCACCCTGATTGCTAAGATAACAAATGACACTCATTTTCAAACCACAAATAAAGATCAGGCCCTGCCAAATCTTCAAAATCCTCATTTAGAGAAATTCCATTTTAGACCTGTGCCTCTTAGTGTCATTAATAAATATCTTAATAATTTAAAAATGAAAAATCAGTGTAGACCAGATCAAATCCCAGCAATGTTGCTAAAGCACAGTGCGCCGACAATTGCTAAACCTGTCACTACCCTCATCAATGAATCCCTGATGTCAGGATACATACCCAAACTTTGGAAAACTGCAAAAGTTGTACCTCTCCATAAAAGTAGTGACAATACTTTGGTATCTAACTATCGCCCAATATCATTGCTCCCGGTATTATCAAACATTTTGGAAAAATGTCTCCACACCAACTATGTGAATATTAAAAGGCTTTTGTCCAAATCACCTAACTATGACTGCCCCCTCTTAAAAGTTTGCAAAGACATCCAAATTGGCATAGAACAAGGAGACTTAACTAGAGCTATTTTCCTTGATTTTGCCAAGGCCGTTGACACAGTCGACCATGGCATTCTTTTGCAAAAACATAAAAACTCAGGCATTGGTGATAGTCTGCTAATCTGGTTTCAATCGTATGTTTCAGACCGATTGCAATATGTGGCCATTTCTGATAGCCATTTATTTATAAATGATCTGCCTAACGTCTGCAAATCCTCAACTGTACACATGTACGCAGACGACACTGTAATCTACGCTAGTAAACCCAAGCTACCGCAGCTTGAGGCTGTGCTCCAAAACCAGTTTGCAGAAGTAGAAAAGTGGATAACAAACTCTTCCTAAACACTGACAAAACCGTTACAATGATCTTTGGAACTGTATCTAAATTACGTAAACTACAAAATCAACAACTGTGTATCAGAACAAATTCAAATAGCACGCTGACAGCAGTCTGCTCTTTTAAATATCTAGGTATGTTGCTAGACCCCAATCTATCCTTTGGCCTTCACATGGAAAAAATATCTTCAAAACTTTACCCAAAACTAGGTGCCCTGTACAGAAACAAATCCTGCCCAAGCCCTATAGTAAGAAAACAAATGCTAATGCCGGCCATTGATTATGGGGATGCAGCGTATGCACCCGCACCGCAAACCCACCTTAATAACCTAATACATTATATAATTCATTCTGCTGCTTTGTACTAGAATGTAATTACTTTACCCACCACTGTGACATGTTAAAAGAGCTAAACTGACTGTCGCTGGAATCCCAACGCACTCTTCATTTTTCCAGCCTTGTGCATAAGAGCATTTCTGGGAAGCTCCCACCCTACCTGAGTAGAATGCTCTCCCCAGCTGTTCCCACCACCTATAACCTCCGATCCAGTACTAACATGATATTTAGTATACCAAAATACAAAAATAAAGTGTCTCAATCCTCCTTTTCCTACAGAACACCACAATTATGGAATAACCTCAGGGACACAGTCGAAACTTCATTCAATCTAAAATATTTTAAGAGCTCTATGGCAATATACCTCAGCATCGAATACACCTGTCATGGTTGAATATATTTATTACCTGTTATATATCAAATTTTATATATATATATATAGTTTGTATATTGTATTTTTGTAATATTGTACAATATTGCAATGTTTTGTGGACAAAGACCCAGAACATACTTGAAAATGATTCCTTGTAATTCTCAGTTTAGTGAATAACTCTGTTTATGTAGGTGTTTAGCGTTAATAATAAATAAATGTATAGCTCTTGGGGGATCTGGTCCACCTCCATGCGGCTGGATGGGACAATGTTTTGCATACAGTTGAATCTGTAGAAGTGGGGTGTGTTCTGTTGCTATTTTTTTTCTAAAACATAATAAATATAACACACACATACACACACAAACACACACACATACACACACACACACATACATACACAAACACACACACACAAATGTTGGTTAGTTTAGATACAAATAAGTTATATAGGTAGCCAGTTTCTAACCCACACCTCAAAGCAATTTTTCCTCAGCTGCATGTACCAGCAGACTGCTGTCTGACCAAGTGTTGTCATTAGGTGAAATCAGCTCAAAACCAATGAAAGTTGGTGGACCATACCATCTCTATATGATAATTATAAGATACATGGACCATACCATCTCTATATGGTAAGTATAGGATATTATATCTATGTATAGGACTATACCATCTCTATATGGTAAGAATAGGATACATGGACCATACCATTTCTATATGGTAAGTATAGGACACGTGGACCATACTATCTCTATTTTACCAATCAGCACTAATTAATTCCAAGAAAGAAGATAATTGTTGGGAGTCAATGGTGGCAACCTCATTGGGGTTTTTGCATGAGGATCCAAGACTCCAATAAGGTGTCTAGGGTGGCAACCCTCCAATCGAGTTATGCCTGAATCGCAAGAACCTAATCAGACCCCTCATGAGTCAACCCTGTTAGATGTGCACAAAACATGTTGTGCACATTCTTCAGATGAAAGGGACTCATTTAAAATCAGGTTAAGATTTATGCTGACCTTACTTCCGTACATGAATGATATCAATCAGGTGGTGTGTGGTGTTGCAATGTGGTCCTACTTTGAAGGCTGGTAATTTAACAAGATGGTAGTCTGCATTTTGGTGACTGCATTAGAGACATTTTTCTACTTTAAAATTAAAATAAATAATAATTATTAAGAGCCAAGGGAATTGCTATTATTTGAAATTAGAATAATAAAGGAGCGCATGAAAATATTGGAGATTATAACATATCCTTTAAAATTCTGCATGCCATAGGAATGTGTTATTAACCTCATTTGCCTTTATAGGGTCAAAATAATCTGTCATTAAGCACTTGGGAGCCTAATCAGTGACTTTCCACTTTATATGTATCCAGCCTGAATCTTAAAGGATTAATGTTGATATTTATTTTTATCTTGCACAAATATTGACACATTGTTACCATTTCAATGCAATACACGTTTAATGGGGGGGCGGGGGGGGAGTAGGGCATGAGAGGTCCTTTACCGTTTGGAAAAGTCCCAGTTACCATGAGTTGGTGATAAAGTTCCAGACGCTCCTTGTTTGACTAAGCAATATTTACATAGAAGGTGTTGGTACTTGCTTAACAAGTTAGAAAAGGACTGAGTTTCTCTTTCAGTGTGAGTGCCAGCTGGCTGCTTCCGTGACCTTTCTGACAGTGGGGAGCGTGCACTAAAACCACCGCAAATGGAAAATAACAGTATATGCATTGATTTAAAGTGACACACACATTGATTATGGAGGTAAAATACATTATTAAATAAATACATCTTACCATTTGTTATTGATTGATTTTAGTATGAATAGATTGGTCATTTGACACAAGTTCAAAACAAGTGTAAATCATCAAGGTTAAACTTGTGAACAGAGATATGAAGCTTGACAAATATTTATAATAAAAAATAAATAATGTTATAGATGTGTTTTTTTATGAAGCTATCAAAATTATCTATCTATCTGTCTGTCTGTCTGTCTATCTATCTATTCTGTCTGTCTGTCTGTCTGTCTATCTATCTATCTGTCTGTCTGTCTATCTCTTTCTGTCTGTCTATCTATCTGTTCCAGTAAAATGTCATGAGGTCATCAGCTCAGCAATAATGGTTTCAGGTTCTGATTGACTGATCAAATATATTTTGCAGCTTTTTTTTAATCAGGCTTTTAACTTTGGCAATAATACAAGTACTGGGATTCCAAAATGGCCACCTTGATGCTAAAGAATGCGGCTAAGGTGCTGGTCCATGCTGTTGTTCTCTCTTGCCTTGACTACTGCATTCCACTTCCCAATGGTCTTACGTGTTCCCAGATTGCATCAGTGCAATCTCTAATTAATGCAGCGGCGAGGCTCTTTTTCCTGTCCGCCCGCACCTCCCATGCCTCCCCCCTCTGTCAGTCCCTACATTGGCTTCCAGTTAGATATAGGGCTCAATTTAAGATTCTGGTGCTTGCTTACAAGTCCCTACATAATGCTTCTCCAACCTACCTATCCTCCCTAATACACAAGTTTGTCCTGTCGAGGCCCCTGAGCTCTGCCGAGGACCTACATCTATTCCTCTCTCCGTACTCCCACATCTGATGCTCGCCTCCAAGACTTCTTCAGGGCTGCACCTTTTCTGTGGAACTCCCTTCTCCATAAGACTTTCACCCAGTCTCCACTCCTTCAAAAAATCTTTGAAAACACACTTCTTCAGGAAAGCATTTGATTTAAACTGTTAGTGGGTCTTCATCCCCCCGACGCCGCTCCATGACTCCTCTCCTGCAACTTTTAAAAATAACCTAAGTTCTCAGTGAACACTTTTCTAGCATCCTATTTCTTTACCTTTACCCTTTGTGTCACTATATCCCACTTCTTCTAGCACGTAAGCTCATTGAGCAGGGCCCTCAACCCCTCTGTTTCTGTGCGTCCATTTGTCTGGTTACAATTACGTGTCTGTTAGTCCACCCATTGTACAGCACTACATAATATAAATAATTAAATAATAATAATATCCTCGAAACTCCTATACAAGCCCCTAGACCAAGGCGGGCTATCAAACATCAAAGAATATTACAGGGCTGCGCTGCTAGCCTCCGTTATAGCCTCCCACGCAGCTGCCTCCCCCCCACAATGGATTGCGACAGAATCGTACTGGTCGCACCCCAAGGGCATGCACCTTCTCTTCTGGATACCCAAACATAACTGCCCGATCATGCCAAACATGCTGCGCACAACTGACTTTAACACAGTAAAGGAGTTTAAGCATGCGTGGGATAGGCATAAGGCTATCCTAACTATAAGATAAGACTAGGGACTAATGAAAGTATTTAGAAAATTGGGCAGACTAGATGGGCCGAATGGTTCTTATCTGCCGTCACATTCTATGTTTCTGTGTTTCTATGTTTCCTTCACACAAGGGACAGACTAAAACAAAACTTGGGCGAGAATCATGTGTGGCTCCCAGCTACCCCTATATCTTGCGTGCATGCTATTAACCCATCCTTTGATTACAGGCCCTGGCGGAAAGGAGGCTGCACCTCCATAGGCCAACTGTTTGGGGGCAGCGGAATTCTGCCATTCCCTGACCTTCAACGTAAATTTCAATTACTGACGAGGGCACTGTTCTCAAACCTCCAACTAAAAGCACTCCTCACACATAACCCCACATTTTCACGATCGCCGACCATGGCCTTTTTCGAAAAAGCCTTCCTAGCCCCTACCACGCCAAATAAGTTATTAGCCTCCATATACCGAGCACTGACAGTTCCGACAGAACGCAGCTGCGAAAAATTTATGATCGAGTGGCATGACGACCTACACCAAACATTTGACATCACAAGCTGGAAAAAAGCAATGTTAGCCCATAAGGGAAAGACAAGCTGTGCATCACACTTAGAATTGATGAGGAAAATCCAGTATCGCTGGTACATGGTACCGGACAGGCTGGCGCGAATTTACCCGAACACCTCTGGACTCTGCTGGAGGTGTTCACAGGAAACGGGAGCGATGTACCACATTTGGTGGACTTGTCCCAAGATCAAAGGATATTGGCACATGGTGGGCGACGTATCTACAGAAGCACTGGGGATGAGCGTTATACTCACACCTGATGTGTGCCTCCTATTCATGCCAAGGGAAAAAATGCCTAAACCAGCCTATACCCTACTCTTCCACATCCTCATGGCTGCAAATTTGCTGATAGCCAGAGCATGGAAATCCGTAGCGATCCCAGGTCGCACTGCCCTCACAGCGCAGATTACCCTCAACCTAGACTACGAATCAATGGCCCATAAGCATATTAGCCCTAAAAAGCACATACGGGAAGCGGGTAGCATGTGGGACACCTACATTAAAACTCAAACACACACGGAAAAAACCCAAACCCCAGGCACACGAGACCAAAGAGGAGAGATAGAGGGAGACGCAATAACACGGGATGACACCTGACAAACCAAACATGATGCAAAAACCTCTGACACAGATGTTTACAACTGGGGGCAAATAATGGTGACATAACGCTGGACGACGGGGGGTGGAAGAAATCCGGGCTGGGCTCTGAGCTCTCGGCCCAAGTTTCGCAATTCGCAGCGGGCAACCCAACACGATTGGCAATGGCAACCAACAAAGGCACCGGGCAATCTGTACACTCCGAAAATGGGGAATATACTCTACACAAGGGGTCCATCCTGATAAGAAAACGTAGAGCAAGCCTCCTTTGTAAATAGTTAACCCCCCACCCCTCCCCGTTTTAGAAGAAAAAGGAGCCAAGTGGTCAGGCGGACTGGGGAGAGGGATGGGAAGGCATCGGATACACCTGAACACCACTCCCAAAAGGGTGACATGAAAGCACTGCTACCATTAGGCAAGCACATGCATACAACTAAAGGAAAAAAAAAAAAAGCCGAAAGCAACGCTATCACAACAAACAGCCCACCAGCCCTGCAGATAGCTATGCCTGACGCAGACACTTGCAGGGAACAGAGCGGTATGGCTGGGCACGAGGTAAACACGGAAAGAAAAACAAAACCTGAGACCGAACACTACATAGAAGTACTCCTTTAGTCAGTCAGTCAGACAGGCCACCTTGCGCCCAGCCGCCAAACCCAAAATGATAGACACCCCATAAACCCCCCGTGCAACACAAGTTTGAAAAGATATGCATGTGCTGCCGAATAACTGACGTGCACCTACACCAAATAATTGTCATGTGTGTATGTATACCAACAAATTGTGATGAGAGTATCAATGCCAAATAAATGTCATGTGTGTATGTATACCAACTAATTAACATGAGAGTATCAATGCCAAATAACTGTCATGCGTGTATTCATATCATACCAAACAATCGTCATGAGTGTATTTACTGACAATGTGAAATACCCGATGGGTCAAAGCGGCCGACCCCCCCCTCTTTCTATTTTCTGTACCCACCGGCCTTTTCGCTGACTCAATAAAAATTGTCTAATTGAAAAAAAAAATAATAATAATAAAAATAATAAAGAATGTCTTATCTCTGCATATTATTACTGCTCATCTTACTACGGCTTGTGTTAATGATAATATTATCACACCATGCTCATATAATTTTTAAACTTACTTAAGTAGCAAAAGGTTCAGGTAACATGGCTATCCATCCAACTGGAGGCCCTTTCATAACGTTTCTTGTCTGTTTCTGTTTGAGATGTCTCCCACGTTTGTAGCAGCGCAGCTCAGCATAACCACAAGTAATTAACTGCTGTTGGACGACTGATTTCTGAAATCCATGTTGGCTAGTGTGAGAGAATTTATGATTCTGTGCCCAATTAATCCATTAATACCAAGGCATTTCTTATTTAACAGTAAACGGTGTGGGAGTGATCACCAATATATCAACATGTTAATGAGAATGTATCTCATTTCCTTGGAATACATCTATCAACCTACAGCATTCTGATTGAAGAGCAGATTTATGAAACGTATATATTTACTGCAATTTGCTATTTCTAGATTATAATTTATCTACATATTCTTTTTACCCTTTTTCTGTGATTTTATTTTTTCCCTGCCTCTCTACAGTTAACACAGAAAGTTACAGGCTTGTTTGTACATGTCAGAATACAAATTTACACAGAAAACTCCTGATCTTCTTTTTATAGATCAGCATAATACGTCGCTTGGCTCGGTGCACCTGCATCTAATACATACACTGTGTACTAACTGGCAGGTGAAAGGCCTATCCGAGCTTTGTTTTGCTTGAAGTACAGAACTAGGGTGTGTAAACAAAATATTAACAGCCCAATTCAATGTCGTCTGTACATAGTTTTGAATTCATGACTTCATCTGTTTGACCAGCTAATCCACAATGAGTAAATGTTTACAGGCCCCTGTGCAATGCTGGATCCGCCCCCGTACTGGGAATAACGAGTGATAATTACGTTGGCTGCAGAATTAACGCAGCGGACAAAAATTCATTTCTGTATCGTTTCTCTTACATGTTCCTAAGCACGTTATTTACAGCTTGGCTCTGAGAGTGCAGCGGAGTCAGTATTCTCTTCACGTTTGAGATTTTGTAGTGTCATGTGCACTCTTTACACTCCCTAATATTGAACACAAGATTATTTCACACAACAGCTCAAATCTATTTCACAAAGCAGAACAATATACTGACTGAGAGATACAGACAAGCCTTCTATACAACAGTAACATAGATGTAACTTGAAAATCGACTTGCAACCTGCAGGCCAAACTGGATAGAATTTCTAATACATCAGATTTTGTTTTAACTCTGCAAGTTAGGCCTCAATGTTGCAGGTCAATACGTGTGTCGTCTCCTTTCCTTTTGTGCACTCTGTATCGCAGCAAATTATTTGAATCAATTTCCTGCAAATGGAGAGAATTATATTGGTTAATAAAAGACCCAAATGTAATTTTCTGCAGTCTGACTATATGACGTGATAACCCCTTGTTATCTCAATTTATGCCATTAGGCACTGGGCACATGAAATGACAAGGATGCTATAAATGACTAACAATTGTGAGCTCGAATTAAAATTCACTATTAATTCTAATCCTCCCAACAATTTGAAATGCAAAAAACAAGACAATATAACATTAAGCCTTACCTTACCTTGTTGATATTAAATTTCTCTGCTGCAGCTCCTTTCTATCCCTCAACATCTCTGCGGAGGGACTGTAAATGACAACTACCTCCTCCTATTTTTTTGTAAATGAAATATCATGACTACATTCTTCCAGCCTTTGGTGGTGAGGGAATGCAAGCATATTAAGCATATTACAGTGATTGCTGTTTAGTACAGATTCTTGATGCAACTCTACATATTGCAGATGGACATACAGTACAGGATTACATTTTACCATACATGAAATAAATTAAAATTTTACTTCTGTGCTAAATGCTCTGACATATTACATTCTGATATTCCCATCTGTAAAATAGATTTATTTGCTGGATGTACATCACATACATGCTATGCAAATTCTTTCTACATGAAAAGAACGTAATGGTGATGAGGTTAAACCATTAATGTTCTCGGAGCAAAAAAAAAACCCAACAAATTTGCAGTAATTCTTATCTTCTAAACTATATAAACTGCAAAAAAACGACAAGGTTGCAATAGATCATGTGAAAACGACGATTTCACGGAGAAAGGAATGCATTAAGAGTCTCTCATAATATTTTGGGATTTCTTTCTCGCAGTTGCTAAGTAATTACCATATACACAAGCATAATAAAATTTATGATAAATGCCCTCTTTCACCATGGTGCCTACAGGCAGAGAATTAAAAATATACATGTTTTAACACTTCATTTATCCTGAAGAGTTCCTGGCTCTTATGGCAAGGTGACTGTATTTAAAAATTCTGTGGATTTTAATCGCTGCAGCCTGACAACTATAGGGACGAGGGTTCAGCTGAATATCATTTGAGTCATTTATTTTAAGATGCAAAAAAAAAAGTATTGAGCGGCTGACAACATCCACATCGCTTGTGGTATTTGTGTGATTGTATTGTGTTGCTAAGGAACAGAATACATTTAAATCCCCAATGGGCCGTCATAGGTTTCAGAAAAAAAGAAATTTGCACCTTTCCCTCTGTCTTTTAAAGTGACCCAGACACATAACAGAGGCCCCAGATCTTGTGAGTTCTGAGTTTATCCCATTAGATAAAGTTTCTTCGGCCGATTTACCAATGACTGTTACAGCTGAGAATGATGAGAGTTGACCTCTGAAATAATCGAAACACTTGGCAAGTTAAATTCACAGATAGTATAATGTCAAGGATTTAACACAATACAAGTGAGTGAGGTATTCTGTAGAAAGATAGAAGTGAGACTATGGGGTCTAGCAATTAAATCAGAGACGGAAATCGGACGAGTTGTAGATGCATTGGATAGCCCTCGAAGTATGGTAGAATGATAGACTAATGTTTTGGAAGAGTTCAAGAGTTCCATTTATTTGTATATTTAAGGAAGGGGAGGAGCCACCATGAATATGTTCGCGAAATATATAATAACCAATCACAATAAAACTCCCCACAGGGCAAATTGAAACATGACTTTTGTGCATCACCTGCATGTCTCAAGGTGGACTTCAGAAGTGGTGGAAAGATGATTTTTTCAAAATGTCTGTTCCAAAGGAGGATTTTCTAAAGTCCAACTTTAGTAGGACTTTTTTAATAGCATTATAGGCCCCTGAGCTACGCAGTACACTGGAACCCTGCCTACACAACCATTCACAGGAATGAAAATATAAATTAGCAATAAAATTAAGCATATATTTATTGATACCTATAACAAAATCAGTGTATAAACATTAAAAAAGCATGTCGTGCAGCAGAGATAAAGCCACACAAATGTTTAGCAGGTAACATGAGATTCAACTAACATGGACAATGAAACATATTAGAAGAACTTTATTATAGTTTTCTGGTTTTAAAAAATGATGTGTGTTGATTTTGTATTGCTTATGCACAATTAGTATGTGTACATTGTTATCGGCAAGATAAGTATTTGCAACAGCAAGATTGCATGCACGGATAACAGCTAATAATGAGGTGATTTGTCCACCTAAACATTTTAATAAAGAGAGTCTGAAGGTTCTGAAAACATTTCTTAGAATAAAATACTGAAAAGTTGGCAAGCCTATGGAGTCCCTATGCTCGTGGGGCCGCCAGACAACTGGCCAGCGTGCCCAAGTGTTAACACAGCTCGTAGGTGACACACAACAGTATATTCTCTCTCTCTCTCTCTATTATATATATAGTTTAATTTGTAGATGTAGCCCACATCTATGTATTAATCATAACTTTATTAATTCATATATACAATAATATTAAAACAGAGATCTTTGAAGACATACGAAGACTCTATTACTATAGATGTTGTGGATGCGGACTGTATACTAAACCAGCCACTAACACAAGAATCTGTGCTTGTTCTCCTGCCAATCATGGAGTCTTTGGTTTATAATTAGATAGTTTCAGCTTATAAAGAGTTCTGGTATGTTTTAGAACATCTGATTTAAAAAGCGATAAAACCAGTGATGTAACTAAAGCTACGACAAGGTTGCGTTGGACTGTATCCAATGTCATGGAACTCTGTTGGACATTGGCACTGCAGATGTCTATGACCTTCATTTCCATGATGCTCAGCCATATTTTAGACCTGTAATAACAGGGTGAACATCACAGAAAATGTAGTACACAAATAACTGTATTTTTAAAGATAGCTATCGACGTCCTTGCTGTTAGCAGTAACCATATCCTATGCTTCTTTTGGATTAACCGTATTAGTGATAAAATATTCTGTCGCTCATTTGTTGAGGAAAAGAACAATGACAAGGAGTAACGAAAAAAGTGGAGAAGACAGTCCTACACCTATTGGTAAACTCCTTCCATCCTGTAATATTCAAAACTCGCCAAGAATAAAACAGTAGAAAATAGGAGCCAGGTGTCCTTTATTACGAATATTTATAGTGTAGTAAGGAAATATCGCTGAAAGGATG